GAAGACATCCAGGGATGGGGCTCAGCAGGTTCAGGGTTTAGGTATTTTACCATGACTCTGGCTGACCTCCATGTCAGTTACATCCAATGGTACTTATTCAGGTTATTTTAATATTTTAATGAAATGTGGTTTGTTTCCTGTCAGACGTCAGGACAGGTCAAACATCCGGGCAGGTTTTGGTGTGTGGCAATGGCCTAGGATTTCCTGCCAGACGTCTTGTTCCTCTTGGCATATCTAGAAGCATGTGGCAAGGAAAGGCTGTAATCTTGACAGAATGCTGGTTTTGGAGGAGTAGAGAAGCCTCACATCAGCGATAAAATAGACATCAGCAAAACAGCTGTTAGCAATTTAACAAACTGTAACCTGATGTAGTTTTTATCACAAGAGATGAGAAGTCCATCATATTAAGAAATAATCTTAATTGCCTACCTCATAGTTGCTAATTAGTCTCTCCTTTAACTTGCATGCTACAAATACCAGCTGCTTGTAAACCTACTCACTGTATAAATCATGCCATCTTTAACACCGACTATGAATATTGTTTGATGCCTGTTGCTAAATATTTGTGGTGCCACTTATGCTAAACAATTAATTGTTTTCTGTTTTATTGTTTGGAATAAAGTATGTTCTTTGAGAACATACTTTGAGAACATAAATCTCCAGAAGGAGAATTAACTACTATGGTAGCACAATCTAAATCGCTCTACAGGCATAGCAAAACCAATTCTTTCCCAAGTCTTACAAGTTTTAAAAGTCCAAAGTTTCTATTTAAATATTTCTTGGTATTGCTTGTTCAGCATGTTACTTGGATTCTTTATTAGTCTGCCTTTAAGAAACAAGAGCAACATGGACTTCAAAAGCAATTTTTAAAGATTTCTGTGCCTGAAAAAATAAGTTGGGTTTTGGAAAAAAAAAAAAAAGGATACTAAAAATGATTGATTTTCAGGAAAACTGTCAGTGTTCATTCCGGGTGTTTGAAAAGACGAAATCAGGAACATTTTGGTTTCTGGAGTTAGTAGGATACCAGATAGTTTTCCACTGTGCATTCAGGTTTGTGTTTTGGGAATCATAGAGTCATAGACGGTTTGGGTTGGAAGGGACCTTAAAGATCATCTAGTTCCAACCCTCCTGCCATGGGCAGGGACCCCTTCCACTAGACCAGGTTGCTCCAAGCCTCATCCAGCCTGACCTTGGACCCTTCCAGGGATGGGGCATCCACAGCTTCTCTGGGCAACCTGTGCCAGTGCCTCCCCACCCTCTCCGGGAAGAACTTCTTCCTGATATCCAATCTAACCCTCCCCACTTTCAATTTAAACCCGTTACCCCTTGTCCTGTCACTCCAGGCCCTTGTAAAAAGTCCCCCCCAGCTTCCTTGTAGCCCCTTCAGGCACTGGAAGGTGCTATAAGGTCTCTCCGGATCCTCCTTTTCTCCAGGCTGAACACCCCCAATTCTCACAGCCTTTCGTCATAGGGGAGGTGCTCCAGGTAGGCAGTGTCAGGCTGTCAGAAGTTTGGACTTTCTCTGGGCTTAAGAAAGGTGTGCAGGTAATTGTAAATATGTGTATGAGCAGCAGCTTTTGGCTGGGTTTCGTAATGACTGGGAAAACCTGTGTGTGACTAACTTGTTTTTCTCTGTTGTGTTATAGGTTCCAGAATCTGCTGTGGTCTCGAAAAGCCTTTGTGGACAGCGTGAAGGTTTATAACCACAGCTACATCTACATGCCAGCCTTCTCGATGAAGATGGGGACGGGACCCTCCCTCCGTGTCTATTACACCCTGGAGGACTTCGGGGCTAAGCAGGCGGTCCTTTTCGCCAACCCCAATTTCCTGCGTGACATTGGCAAGTTCTGGAAGAGCAAAGGTATCCACGCCAAACGGCTTTCCACGGGACTTTTCCTAGTCAGTGCCGCCCTGGGTCTGTGTGAAGAAGTAACAATTTACGGTTTCTGGCCGTTCTCGGTGGACCTGCACGGGAAGTTTATTAGCCATCATTACTATGACAATGTCTTGCCTGATTCTGGATTCCATGCCATGCCGGAGGAATTTCTACAGCTCTGGTTTCTTCATAAAAGCGGTGTACTGAGAATGCAGCTGGAACCATGTGAGGACCCTTTATTCCAGTCTTCTGCCTGAGGATCGTAGGAGTTGGTTTGGGAGATCCAGTAGTTTTTAATTTCTGTGCTCTCCAACAGAGAGTTCTGTTTTCTGTTGATTCTTTTTAAAGGGAAAATAATCATGGATCTGCATGGACCATAAAAATGCTACTTGAAGGCCAAATGGAATACGTCCTTAATGTATAGTGCTTTATGGAACTGGGGTAGGGGGAAGCAAACCCCTCCGTCGAGTCCATTCAGCAGCACTGCGAACCTAAGGTCAGAAGCAGCACAGCTGAACTTCGCGGGGGACGTTTTTAAATGACCGATGTGAAAAAGGGCATTAAGGCTCGGGGAGACACAGGGCCACCCACAAGCTTTTGCTGACAGTGCCAAATATGACTGTCTGTTCAAAAATCCATTTCATTCCAGATTGGCACCTCGTACAACTTTCCTTTTTCCTGGGTTTTTTTTCCCTCTGTGTGTGTGGGGGTGTGTGTAGGAGAGCATGTGTGTTCTGTTGACTTTCTTTCTTTCTTTCTTTCCTTCTTCCTTCCCCCGCTCCCCCCCTTTTTCTTTTCCCCAATGGAAGGAAAAGGAAAGGCTTAAAAGCCCCAGGAGCTGAGTACCATCAAGTCCTCCAACGACTCTTGGGAGAGTGAAGGGTGCTAAGAATCTGGTTAGAAGAATGTCCTAGGAATGCCCTGCCTACTGAGTGTGGATGGACCCACCTGTTACAGGTTTTATCGGGGTAGTTCTGGTCGTTGCATTTATAGCTATGCTAATGCTATACTGTGGGCAAGAGCTGGTTAAGGCAAATGGGTCTGGAAATAAACCTTGTGGTACAGAACCAGTAGTGCAGAGCAGCCTGGTTTCAGCTGACCTGCTGCAAGATTTCCAGAGTGACTTTCCATAGCAGAGATGGTTCCTGACCTGTTTTGCCGTCCAGCCTTGGGGATTAATTCTGTATTCAGTTGGACTCCAGATGTTCATTGACTGTCAAGGGGATTGGAGGTGTTCAGTGGAATGCAGAATGAGGTTCTTCATTTGCTTATAGCAGAAAAACTGCAGAAATGAATGTAAGTGTCATTTAAATGAGTTGAAGCTTCAAAAACCCTTTCTCTCTCTGTGACTAGCTCTTCTGCTTGGATTGTAACGTTAGCCTTAAAGACTTGTACTTTTCTCTCAAGATTGTCTCTGGTTACAGATAGTCTGAAAAATAAAACAGCCTTTGGGAGCACCGAAAAGCTGCGTAGCCAGCAAGAAAAAAAGGAAGAGGAGATGGCTGGCCTTTCCGTAGGGCGGCCGCTCTCCTCGCGGTGGGTGAATTATGTCTGTGCGCGTTGCACGTGCGCTGCTCGGCCAGCGCAGCGCCTGGAGGACTGTTTTATTTTGGGTTATGACTTGGGCAGCAGATGGTCCTATCGCCGTGTAAATGAGGAATCTTTTCTGTTTGCTTTGGTTCGGCACTGCAGGACAAGAAGAGAATACCAGCTCGGTCCACGGTGCGATTTCAGCTGCAAGATGTTATCACCATTAACTTTAAAATCCTGACCAGTGTTCTCTTTCTTATCCTTCCATTGTTAGTAGCTGAAATTCTAGTCCAGGTGTTGACACAACAAAACTGTCACCAGGTTTCCACAAGAATTTCCTGTGCTACCTGTTCTAGCTCCAAAGTGCTAGTGTTTTGGGGGATGTGTCCTATCGTATGTTGACAACGTCTCTCTTTGTAGACTACCAGCTGGAAGTTCTAGAGATATAATTAAAAAAAAAAAAAAAAAGGCAAAATCCATGGCTCTTCTTTAAATATGAATAGTTCATGTAGGACACTGGGGAAAAAAAAAATCATGTTTAGCTTTTTAAACTTATGTTTCATAATAAAATCTTTCTAACTATGGATATTCCAAGCATAAAGTGGGCACTGTTCCATAGAATTACAGGGCAGTGCTAAACAGTGACGTGGAGGTTTGGATTAAATAGCGTTCTAGAGATTGTTCTGATAAAATCCGAATGTGCTTCTACAACCCATTTTGTCTTTGTCCGTATTTTTGTTGAAAGAACGGTCAACACGGTGGAACGTCACTCGGTAATTCATTCCCTTTTGTTACGTTCGTTTTATCTATGATGTCGGTACTCGGCGAGGAAGGGTTCGAAAGTAAAGTGTTTTCTTTGCTGCTTGTTATGGCAGAATTTTACAGAGCTGCTTTTCTTGGAGAAGAAGAGGTACTTGGATGGTTTTCATTGTACTCATCAAGTTTTGCCCGTCGTAGTGCGTTAGAGATGACATTATCCGTGAGAACAACGATGGAAATGCAGTGTGCTAAAATGGCACTTCAGTAGGTTGCCAGTTTCCTTGAGGAATGAGGAGATTAGCAGGGAAACTGCCTCTTTGCTGGTTATTTTTTTGTGTGATTTTACCAGTACTTGGGAATTTAGTTTTGAACCTCTCTGACGGCTCTCCAGCCCTTTGGTAATCCTTTTTTCCATGTCTTGGGAAAATGGTCAGATTAGAATAACAAGAGAAAAACATGTATTTTTGTAGGAAAGTTCAGTGCAGTGTTTAACTGTGCCTGGTCTTGTTCATGTTCAAGCGGTGCCCTGTTACCTGGAGATGTTGTATTCCCCGCATCAGTAAGACTGAAGCAGAATGAACCTGTAGCCGGTGGTCTGAGTCCCTTCTGACATCCTCAATCCCAGTGTTTGCAAGGACGTGGTTTCCAAAGAATTATGGGGGTAGGAGAGACCCAGGCTGTGTGTGATGTGTGACTTGTTGTTGCAGAAATTGATAATTCTGGTTCTATTCACATTTATGTATAGTGAATATAACTGCATCTGACAAAGACAACCACATTTGATGGGGAAGTAAAGGCTTTGAGGATAAATCATTTTCTGTAACTTGGGAAAACTGGCGGCTTAGGAAACAGGAGAAAAAGAAATGCCCCTTTTAAGAGAGCAAAATCTGGTTTAGTTGAACTTGTCAGTCCGTGCAAGTGTTTGGCGGCAAGAGCAGTCACAAAAAAAAGCTGGAAACATGATAGTGGCAGCTGCCTGGCAGAAATCTTGGAGTTAATATGCTCCATCCGTTCTGTGCCTCAGCATGAGGCTTACCTTGACTAAATCTGGGGCAGATCCATGTGTAGGACCGTCGATACAAAATATGGTGTTGCATGCAAGGGACTGAGGTTGTATCCTTCATCGGGATTGGGGTCACACCATGGGATAGGACCATACTTCTGCTTAAAGACAGGCACAGTCAAATCCAGGAGGCTAACTGGAGGTTAACCATGAGAAATCTGCATCTCGCAGTCGTGGCAAACTTTGGTGAGAGTGATTACATCCAGCCACCATTCGCCTATTGATGGCAGTGCCCTTGATCGAATCCCATTGCTTGTGTTGCTATATTTTCCTTGAAATGGATAGAAATCTTCACGTTTAGTGAAATTCCCTACTCTAGCTTCTGTGTTTCCACTGCCAGTCCCTGAATTTCTCTGATAGTGTAGCTAAAGCTGCCCAAGTCTTTGCCAGGTTGAAAGCTACTGCGATTCATCTTCAAAAAAATCATAGTTCAGACCGGCCAAATCATTTGTTCATGTTCCTTGTTATTAAATTTATTATAGGGGTGGCAGGGAACAGACACACCGGAATCATTGCTCCGCATAGGAAGCATTGCCCCACATTTGAAAGTAGAATAGATAAAATTCCTTTACAAGAGCTGGGAATGGAAGATAGTCAGTACCGTAATCATTGTAGATATAATCGGGTTTGGGACATATATGCTTTGGAGTAAATCAAGAGCAATTTTTGTACTTGTGCCAAAACTATGTAAAACTCCTGTTGACTGTGAAGCCTTGGGAGCCTCTTCTAAAACAGACAAGCAAAAAAGCAGCCAGTAAACGAAAGTCATAGGGAAGGGGTGTGTGTGCTCATGAGAATAAAAACATTAATAATTTTGGCACAGACCTTGCTGTAATCTAGGGACTCTTATTCATGAATGTTGTGTTTTCATGTTTTTGCGGAAATGAAGATACCGGCTTTGGGGTGAACCAGCGACACGAGTCAAAGGTCTGAGCCTCTGCTACACCTTAACTTTCCAGAATGTAGAAATATTGGCTGCTTTGTTGACGTGACTACTTCCACCTCTCTGTTGGCTTCATCGAAATGGTGTCATAACATACACGGCTGAGTTTGCACCTCTGGGAGCTGAAACTAAGCAAAGCATCTGCTTTTTTTTTTTCTTAAGCTGAATGTCTGAACTGTGATAGTTATGTAAAACCCTTCTTCTATCCATCTTCATGGAACCTGGTTTTACGTCTGGCTCACCCTGGCCTGTAATTAATAAGGAGTGAGGAAGCTTTTGATGTAGAAGTGAGGATGATGAAGGAGGCGAATGCTGTCGCAGCATTTGCTGCCTGCTTTGGTTCTTTTCTTCAGCTCAATAGATTTGTGAGTGTTGGAAGAAGTCTGGGTTACATGAAGGACAGGCGGTTCTTGAAGAGTTGGATGATGCTGGAAAAAAAGGAAGATCAAATCAGTGGTGTCACAAATTGGAGTGCAGCAATTCTTGATAAAGATCCCCTGTTCTAAGCAACTGTGGGACGTTTTCATCTGGTAGTGACTGTGAAAAATGGACTGCCTTCGACCTACCGGTGGTTTTCTGCAGGATGGCAGCAAAGCAAAATGCTATGAGGAGGGAAAACTGATTAAAAAGAAATACAGTGGAACAAAGAACGGTAATGAAAAATCTGTTTTTCCTGTTGTCCCTCTCACTCCCCCAAACCATATATAAAGTGGACTAAACAGCTACTATCCTGAGTCACCATCTCCTTCATGAAATGTTACGGTGCGATTTCAATTAGCTGATACTTCCTAGTCAACAAAATTCATCAGACCTTGTCCAGAAATGCCTATTCCCTGGCTCCATGGCTTTTTGGAGGATGCTTTGAGGGCTGTGGCTGTCCTGGTGTGCTGTGACCTCCCTAATGGGACCTGCTCCTGATGTCATGTGGTTCCATCAGCTCTCTCTGGGATCATCTGGACTTGTATTTGTGCCCCAAGAAGTCATCCTGAAGGATCTCTCTGCTCGGTCCTTCCCGATGATCATCCCCCTTGGGGTTAGAAGTGTAATTTAAAAAATCAGCCATAAGGTAGCTATGTCATTTTGAACCATCTTTTCTTCTAAAGTGTGGATAAATCCAACAAGAGTTACCTCCGGATCGAAAATACGACACCAGTTAGGTGTTGGTAATTCTGTGCCTGGA